GACAATTGTTGTTTACGCTATCCACTAGCTCATGACAAATTTAATGGCATAAAGAACTTCATCATATCTCTTGCCATTTTTGCCTATTTTGTAAAAGTCTTAAAACAGTACTTTTTCTTAACCTCCTTGGATTTTCACCAAACCTTCATATTTCTGTGATCATTTTAGTCAGGAGACAGTCCTTATAAAGAAATATCAACAAAATCTGAAACTTTCCATGTGGTATGGCTACCAGCCACACCCAAACCATATTGGTGCCACACCCATTTCAATCAGACAGCTATATCTGAGGCGTGCCTCAGCCAATCATCACCAAACTTTAATATATACTGTAGGACATTACCGGGGAAGGGCCCTCCAAATTATGTGCCGATCGGTCAAACGGGGGCGCAATAGCAATATAACATGTCTGTATAAACCTGGAAAATCAGTTCAACTTACATTGTTCTTATTTCTGTTCCAGTCACATATTACTGATAAAAATATTTTGTCCTGCAAGTTCTGTGTGTCATTTCAAATCAAGATATATGCAATGCGTAATGATAGTCATTTCCATTCCCTTGTGATATTTAAAAACTTAATAAATTACATATTGCTATAACTACTACAATATCCAGCCCAAGTATGTCATTCTGGTAGTAGATCAATCAGGACACTGCCCTTATGTATAATTTATAAAGATAGCTTCATCTGCCTGTACAGTATGGCCACCAGCCACACTGAACCTATCACATTTCCATGCTCATTTCAATCAAACAGCTAAATCTGAGGCATACTTCATCTGATCATCACCAAATTTGACCCACTAATGTACCACTGCACCTCAGACAGACCCTCCAAATTTGGTGCCGATCGGTCAAATGGGGGCGCTACAGCTACTGTCCATATATGTCTAAGACCCACCTTAGCAAATTCAGCTGAAATGTCCTTCTTTCTCATAAAACCTTCAAAGAATTGTTACCTTTCCCTTCACCATAGTCCATATTTTTAATTTCCTTTCATTTTTCACCAATTTGCCTCATACAACATTATCAGACTTCATTTACACATGAGAAGGCCTGAAAGTATTAAATAGTATTTCTAAAATGGAGCGCTGACTCCACCTGCTGGCCAAACCATTTCCATGCCCATTTCAATCAAACAGTTATATCTCTGGCATGCTTAATCCAATCCTCTCAAAAATTGACCGACTGATTTATCTCTGGCCCACAGACAGACCCTTCACCTTTCGTGCTGATTGGTCAAAGGGGGGCGCTACGGCTACTCTCTAAATATGTCTAAGACCCACATTGGCTAATGCAGCTGAAATGACCTTATTTCTCATCAAATATTTAAAGATTAATCACCTTTCCCTTGATCACAGTTAATATTTTTAAATTGCTTTAATTTTCCTGCCATTAGACTTTTAGAAATGTATCAAACTTCAGTGATACTTCAGGCTGTGTACACTGCAGCAATTGCAATTTCTTTGAACAGCTAGTCACCACATTTCCCTTCTGTTTCTCATCTGCCGTTTTCCCTTTATCATACCTTAACATTTCTACGGTAATGTTTAAATGTCAGGTATCATCTTATCATAGTAGCATTTCCTACTTTCTGACTATTTAAATGAATTGGCCATCAGTTACAGTCTGTACTTAATTTCCAATTTAGCCACTGTCCTAATATGTCTAAGACCAACCTTGGTTAATGCAGCTGACATCTCCTTATTGTTTATTTAAACATTTAAATATTAATCAACTTTCCCTTCATCTAAGTCCATATATTTAATCTGCTTATACAATCCTGCCATTTGACTTATAGAAATCTATCAAACTTCAATGTTACGTTAGCCTGTGTACACTGCAGCAATTGCAATATTTCTCCAACAGCAAGTCACCACATTTCCCTTCTGTTTCTCATCTACCCTGTTCTCTTTATCGTACCTTAATCAACATTTCTAAGGTAATGTTCAAATGTTAGGTATCATCTCATAATAGCATTTCCTATTTTCTGACTATTTAAATGCATTG